TGGCCCAGAGAGCACTTTAAACTGCACAGCAGCACCCAGCTAGGACACTATTGATGTCAGGGATGAAGTATTGGGTTACATGTGGGTTCTGCCAGTGGTTGCTGGCTTTGTTCATGATAAATGCTTCATAAACACTAAGTGAATGGATCTATTAGAGAAGAACAACAGTGGTGATCAATAAAGGTGACACATAACTGGCATTCACTCATTCTGCAAAGATTTATTACATTTCTATTCTGTGGGCCTTCGGGAGTGGTAAATGGGTCAGAAGATTCCTGTCATCAAATAGTTTATTCTCTATGTGTTCAAGGGAGGGATTTTGTATTTTCAAGTAACATTTATTAAATGCTATGCTTCAATGACTGTGCTAAGCACTTTTCAAGTTTAAAATCCTATTGAACCTTCACCAAGGTCTTATGAAGAAGGGAAATAAATGCACTAACTCAAGTTCTGAGTTGTTGTGTAACTTACTCAAGGACACCCGGCTAGCAAGAGATAGAGCTGAGCCTTAAACCCAGATCTGATGCCAAAACTTGGGTTCTTGATGACTATGGCTAGATTTATGGGGGGTGGAGCTTTGTGGGAAAATTGGGATACTTATTTTTCATTTTCTTATTTCTTTAGTTTTACTATTTTTAAATTTTCTTATGAAAGTTTGAAATAGAAAAAAATTGGAAGAATCCCACCACGAATATCTCTATATTTTTACCTAGATTCTAGGTCAATATTTTAGTAAATTTGATTTATTACACAGCTATCCATCTCTCTCTACCCATTAATCATCTTATACTTTTGATGCCTTTCAAAACAAGTTACAGACACCAATAGAAGTTGAGATTGGAATTTGACCTTGAAGGATGTTGTCAGATCTCTACAGGCAGAAGAGAGGGAAAGGAGAGGCCATGCAGACATGGGAAAGAATGTGGGTAAAACCTAGGCACTGTGATTTCATGAAATAAGAAGGCTGTGAACAAAGGGTGATGGTTAGTGTCCAGGAGCATGGTAATAAAGAAGGCTGGATGAAAGAAGCCAACCAGAAAATTATTTTCATTTCGGTGAAGTAAATATGGGAAATAGGAACCACCAGAGTTTCTGGTAGAAAGAATTCCGGGCACAAATAGTGTCAGGAAGGTTAGTTGTGGAGATGGGCAGGGAGAAACTAAAGTAATGGAACCCTGGCTGTTCTAATGCTCCATGCATGAGGGAATCTGAGACTGCAGAGCCCTATCAATAGACGGGGAGATAAAACTGTTAAGAAAATGTAATATAAGAAGCGTAGTGATGTTTAAATTAAAGAATAGTATTTTCTAACAAATAGTAATTCAAAATAAGACAATCTAAATTTCATTTTCCAAAAAAAATGTTCTTTCACCTGTGATTTTTCAGAGAACACCTCACCTTGATAGGAGCTTTATGAACCAGTAGTGGACCTCTGTTATGGTTTGGATGTGAGGTTCCCCCCAAAAGCTCTTTTCTGAGACAATGCAAGAAGGTTTAGAGGAGAAATGATTGGGCTATGAGACCCTTAATCCAATCAGTGAATTAATCCCTGTTGGGATTAACTGAGTGGTGACTGGCCTTAGGTAGGTCTGGCTGGAGGAGGTGGGTCACTGGGGGTGTGGCTTTGGGGGGTGTTTGTATCTGGTGAGTGGTGTCTCTGCTTTCTGATCATTATGTGAGCCGATTCCCTCTTCTACACTCTTCTGCCATGATGTTCAGTCTCACCTTGAACCAGGGGGAATGGAGCCAGCTGTCTATAGCCTGAGACCTCAAATAAACATTTCCTCCTCTAAAGTTGTTCTTATCAGCACAAAAGCTGACTAAAACAACATCCATGTCCTTCCAGTGGTGGTCCAGGTCAAGCTTCAGCCACTTTTCCCTTTGTCATCTCTGGGTTTATCCCTGAAGCACTCAGAGAAGGCACTATGTCCTCCTCCAGTTTTGCGCTCACCCCATAGGGACATTTAGCAGTGTCAGAAGACAATTTTGATTGTCTTGATGATGGGGTTACTATTGGAATTTAATAGGTAGAGAGAGACCAGGGATGCTGTGGAATGTTCTACAATGTACAGGGCAGCCTCACAGTAAAGGAATCACCAAGTCCAAAGTATCAGCAGTTCAGAGATTGACAGTAACCTAATTGGTACAGAGGTTGGGATAAGTTGCTGCTCAATCAATGTTTTTGGAATGATAATAATGGCCTCATT